TCGCCGAGGCTTGCGATCCCGTCGCCGGTCCCCGGTCCGGTACGGGGGCAACACTGAGGGTTGCGATCCGTTGCCGGACACGGTAAAAAGACAAAAAAAAAAAAAACTGCAGCTTCCTCTTTGAAAAATTTGATGGATATATTTTGAAAGTAATGTCTAGTAATACGGACTTGCTGCAGTGTGAATAAGTGTTTGGGGGAAAAACAGTCTCCCCAGAGTAGGACGGACCCTAGATTCGCTTCTTATGTGGTGTCTCTGTTCAAATCAGTGCCCTTGAGGAAAGTTCAAACCTTTGGTACGTGCCTTGTCAGACGATGGGCCAGGTATGGCACCAGATGATCCCATCTCTCTTACCAGAACAGGGCTCGCTGAAATTGGTGAGTCACATGCATTTTCCAACCCCAGGGTTATTATGCAGTTCGGCAGAATGTGTGGGGAAATGCAGGGGGCTTTATCTGCATCTGCAAAGAGTTAGCTAAGTGGACTTAGGCTTTGGGTAAGGTGTTTTCCTGACTCTGGCACGTCCCAAAGTGGCCGATATGTCTTGAGGCCCTGGGCAAGGATCCAAGTACCGCCTTCCTGAATTGCTCCTAGAGGAAAAGGAGTGTTTCAACTTTCTGTACTTCTTAAAGTGTTACTTTGATTAGACAGGAGATAGCAGTTTGTTTAGCAATATTACTATTATTACTCTGCCATGGTTATATTTTTAAACTATACTTTCTCTTTCCTTTGTCAAGACCAAATGAAGACACACATTTGCACCACAGATCCAGCTGAAGCCGCATAAGGTATTCCCGGATAGGTCTGAAAATGAACTCTAGGCTCACTGCTGCCCAAATAGGAAGTCTTCCCCTATCCCCAGGTCAGGGGTTCATGTTTGGTTTTTTTTAAATAAATACAAACACTTTTTAAAAATAAAATAAGTTTTATTATTGCTATAAAAGTAATGCATTTTATTGTTTATACAAGTATTATTTGGAAAATACATAAAACTGTAAAGAGGAAAACAAACATCACCTATGATCCTAGGATCCCAGAAATAATCACTATTAAAGTTTTGCTATATTTCTTCCTAGCCTTTTCTCCATATATTGATACAAAACTATGGATGCAAAATGTTCCCAATACACTTATATTACATATTCAGGAACATATTGCAAAAATAATTCTGCACCTGACTTTTATCACAAAAGCAAACCACAGATAACCACTCTTAGGTTTTTGGTTTATTCCCTCCATCCTTTTGTCTGTATATTGATACAAAACTATGCATGCAAAATGTTCCCAATATATTCATAATGCATATTAGGAACACATCGCAAAAACAGTTTAGCATCTTTCTTTGATCGCCTATAGTAACATAGCTCAGAGATAACCACCTTTAGACCTTTAGTATATACTTCTTCCTAGCCTTTTTTCCATATTATTGACACAAAACTATGAATGCAAAATGTTCCCAATACATTTATATCACATATTAGGAACACATCGCAAAAATAGTTTAGCATCTTTTTTTTGGTCACTTATTGTGCCACAACTCACAGATAACCACTATAAAGTTTTGATATACTTCCTCCTAGCCTTTAATCTGTATATTGATACAAAACTATGTATATAGAACATTCCCTATATACTTATTTTGCAGAGATGGGAAAAGATTTTGCATGTTTCTTTTCTCACTAAATATTTTATCAGGAGCACATTCCCCTGTCATGAAAATTATTTTCAGAAACATTATTTTAAACAAAAGCAACCTCTTCTATTGTATTAGATGTACCATATTTTACTTATCCAATCTTCTGTTGTTGGTCATTCAGGATGTTTCTAATTTTCATCCTTAAAAATACTGAAATGTATGTGTTCTTTTTCTGTGACTTTCTGTTTATGTAATTTTTACATTTTTTTTCTTAACCACTTGCATGGACTCAACATATTAAGAATGACCCTGTGTCTTTAATGCTTATAGCTACGTTTTTCCAGTTGGTGTTTGCTTCAGCATAAATTCTTTGTTATAATATTCTAGCACAAATATAAAATCATATATGCTACGTAAATTTCAATTCATTAAGTAGATATTTAAAGCAATAGCTAAAGACACAAATAGTTAAAGACACTCCCATTAAACTCCTGTGAAAATACAACTCATCCCCCAACCCCAGGGAACCACTTTCTTCCTTGCTTATGGCCCACTTTCCTCCTGTCTTTTCATCGATTGGTCTTGTAATACTCACCATGTATATTGCTATGAAGATGAGTGGCTCCCAGACCTTTCAGTTATCAATCTGTCACAAGTGCACAGTGGTATCTCGTGACATGATGATCCCCGAGATGTCTGAGGTCTGTGCATTCTCGACCCCAAATTTCTGTATCGCCCATGACCCCTAAAGACTTTTTAGAGAATTGTTTGACAAGGTAACAAAAAACACGGCATAACAAAAACAAAAACAAAAACAAAACATGAAAAAAGTAGAGAAAGAAAAAACTTCAGCTCTAATTCCACCACCTTTATTTAAGTAACAAGTGTGTTTGGTTTGCAAGTTCTCTCATCTCCTACTTTTCAGTCACGGTGTCCATGTGATTTTTTGTGGCCCTGATTTTTTAAACTAAATATCATAAGAATTTTCCAGGTTTCTAGGTAATCTTTATAATTATTATTTGTAATGGTTGAAAAAGGCTCTATTGAGTGAGTGACTAGATTAAGTTAATCCCTGTGGTTGGACATTTTGCTTCCTTAAGATTAATTTGGTTGAATCTATAGAAAATATAAAAATATGGGCCAGAAATTTTAAATGAATTTAAATCACGCTTTTTTGGTTTGTGCACATCGACCTGTACACAGCTAGGTAACTTCCAGTCACTATTTAGTAATCCTGGGGCCAATCTTGGGCTTCACCCAGGAAGTGTCCAGTGTGTAGGCAAAAGCTCATCATAAAACTAGTCAGCTTCACCTGGAATTTTTCTAACCAAACATACTAATTCAATTCCATTTCCTGCTCTAGTCACTACTGTGTAGTCAGTTCTGACGAACAGGTAATGACATAAGCACAGCACAAGGTCTGGAGGAAGAGGCCCCAGACTAGTCTTGGATAAATCCTTGACCTCCAGAAGCCCCGGTTTTCTCTTCTGAAATTGTGTTTGTTTGGTTGTTTTTTGTTTTTGTTTTTTTCTTTTTGGACTGCTTAACTCTATTTATCTTTCAAGGTTGCAAATAAAAAATGTAAAAGCATTTGGAAAAGTATGTAAAAGCACGATACAAAAGGCAAGATGTTGAGAGTCTAATGATTCTGATTACAGCTCTGTGGCCAGGCCTTTAAAAGGTGTGGCCTTGGGATAATAGTCTCCTCTGAATAGCAGGTGGGGGTGGGGATGGGAAACAGGTGGGAGAGCTGCCCTGGGAGACTCAAGACCCAGTGTGCTGCACTGATCTCAGCTCCCTGACACTAGCGGTGAGGCCAGGGCCACCTTCTGAAACTCCTGCCAGTTGCTGAGATTATAGAGCTCAATACTGTAAGGCGGGGGCGCCCCAAAGCCCAGCAACCACAGGAAGTGGAGGTTTTTCAGGGCTCCTCCTTAATGGCTCAATTTACTGTTCTCACAGGGGGTTAAGCCTTTTAGAACTTGCCAAAGAGATCAGTTGTGGAGTGGGGACTGAGGCAAAGGCGACAGATAGGTGAAATATTATGGAAGAGCTAGCAGACCCTTGTTCATTTACTGGGCAGTAACTAATGGGTGGGCACGAGCGGGGTGTGGGGGGGCAGGGGATACACATTTGCTACAATTGGTGTATATATACTGTTTCTCACTTAAGAGTAATGTAGTAACTCTAAATACAAAGGCATATATAAAGTTCTAGGCTTATGAGAGTAAGTAATACTGCAGGGCAATAGGAAAATTGATCTCTAAAAATTTATGCCAACTTGGATATAGTCCCTGACTGAAGTCTTTTAATTTCTATCAGCAAACTTTCATTGATCTTCCCAAACCATGCTTTTTGAATCTATTTTTATTTTCGCCTTGCACAGTCTCAGAAAAACTGCCAGTAAGTTAACTCCCATCTTGAAGGATCATGTTTTCTCCAAGTGTTGCCCTGAGCTCTATAGTTCAGGATTCAGGGAACAAACCCAGTCCCCTCCTGCCCCATCTGCCTTGATGAGTTGATAGGTATAGTGTTTTAAAACAATCAGCAAAATAATTTGCACTGCAGAGTCCTTATTAGGTTTTTTTTTTAATTGGGCAGTTGCCCATATTAACGGAAATCAAGAGCAGCGTACAATCATTCAATCTCCCAGCACTGGAGTATATCCAACTGTTTTCCTGTTCGGGGTTCCACTCTAGTCCTTGTCTGTGTGCACACATAAAATTTTATAGTTGCAACCACTGCCTTTTTTTGAGGCCCTGGTTATTGGCATCTAGTTTTCCAAGTAACATTGACACACATCTGTTCAAATCAATTGATGTTCCCATCATGACTGACTCATTTGGCGGGAAAAATGGGTTTACATGCCAATTGGAACAAAGAAGCCTGGGTATGGGGGAACAGCAGGGACAAAGAAATAGTGGGAGAGGATTCTTTGGACATACAGATCAGAAGACATTTTCCAGTAACATTTTTAAAGGATGGATATTATTACACTGAGCAACTGATTATATTTGACCCCCCTATTGTGGGACGCGGGTGGTTTTCAATACCTAGTGAGTTAAAAATGCATATAAATTACAGCCTTTGAGAGATGATTATATTTTCTTGAAATGAGTCTTCTGTGTCCAGATCCCCGCCAAGAGTGTTGATGTAGTGTTCCTTTGTTGGGGGGGGGAAAATCAGTACTGCTAACTGCAGATGCTGGATGCCTTCAAAAAATATTCCTGTGATTAACATTTTTTAAAAAAATTATGTTCAATTCTATTTCATCAAAGTAACCTGTGTATCTTGTTCCACAACTTACTGAAATGTTGAATTTTAGATTTAGGACTAGACTAAGCTTTTCCTAGTTTAAAGGCCAGGTCTGTCTAATAAACTTTATGCAATGCCACGTGCACGCAGCTTCCTCACTAACAAATAACATGTGCTGGGGAAAAAAAACGAGAAAACAATTGGAAAGGCGCCTCGGTGAAGGTGGTAACATTGGATCAATTAACCAGCCGACTATAAATTGATCCACCTTATACAAGTCTCCCACACATTATGATGCACATTTAGCAACGTTGAAAACAATTTTAAAGAACACCTTAGGGAGTTGTTAAAGAGAATTTATAGTCTGGAACGAATTGCCATTTTCTTAATTGACACAGAAATGTTTGGCTAAAATATTGCTTTATTCACATTTTTGTCCTTGGAGGAAATTCTAGGCACACTGCAACTTCGATCGTGTAAATAAAGGTGCAAGGAATGTTTTAAGTCAGAAAAGGTACCACGCAGTCAGGGGGCTGTGTGGACGAGCTCAATTTCGATGCCTCCTGGGAACCCGGGGCAAAGGGTCGCTTCGATTCTGGAAGGCAACGCCCCCAAGTCAGGATCACTTGTTCCCCGCCCTCCGCCCCTCGCGGTCCCCAACCGGCCCGGTGTCTCACCTGGGTCCTGCGGGCGCCCACTGGAGGGAGCCGGACGGCGCGGGCTTGGGCTTCCCGGGA